GGATGAAAGAGCTGTCCAGTACTCCAGTGCTGGTTTCCATTGGTTCTCTAACTGATATCAATCCGTGATCATTTCGTAAAAAGTGGACTTCATCCGAAAGATGTGAGTCACGTAAAAAGAAAGAAGCGAAGAGAGATCAACACCCTGAGGGACTCCAGCGGCTTCAGTAAGCACGGAGGTGGGGAAGAGGAAGATTTGCCTTTTAATATCCCGTTCACTGCATTAGAGTTATGTTCAAATAAAAATATTTCATAAATGGTGGTCATATTATCTCTCTCTCTCTGTAAGACGTGTTTTAGTTATCATCATCGGTAAACTGCGTGACAAAGATTAAATCCTTCGCTACTCTTTTTGTTACCAATTTATGTGGATTGTTCAGTTGAATGAAAATGATGTCGGCGGCGTCTTTAAACTAATCTCATATTCACATAAACTGATTTATAAGGGTTAAACTACTAATTTTTCTACCTCTTCACAGGTATCGATTTTCATCATCGAAAGATTTAGAAGGAAAAATTTCCTTCAAGTGTTTCTGGCCCCTCTTTATTCTCCCCTCTATTTGTCTGTCTGTCTGTCTCTCTGTCTGTTCCCTGTGTCACAATCTGAATTTCACGGAAATCTTCACGTTCGTCTGACAAGTTGACAGTTAACTATCTGTTGGCCATATTTAAGAGATATGTTAATGCGAAAAGAAAGAATAAAAGTAGGTCGTTAATTATATAAAATGATGTATTTAATTTTCTTTTTTGATAGGTGGAGAAACACAATTTTGGTTCAACGAAAAGAAATATTTTTCAAAAGAATGAATACTGATCAAAGAATACTCTTTTCGATAACCCTTTCTTCATCAGGCTCTACAGTTATATATATATACAATATTGCGAATGAATGAACAACATTAATGTTGCTGTTTAAATAATATCGAATCAATAATCACATTGATAGATCACAGCTCAATAGCATCAACATAAAATAACCTGGATGTCAGAAAACATTAGGAAAGATAATATTACAAATTCATGAATGTGTAGTGTCTACTGAAGGCCAGCAAAGGGCAGTAGTAGTGGCTGGCTGGACTTCCTTCATCTGCACACAAATTACTGATTGTTTAAGGCGAATTGCGATAGCCTCAGCTGTTTGGAGCATGCGGTACCTCGATGTTTACCCAGCAGATGATAAATAAATATTCTTCCATGCTGACTGACTTTGTGGCCGGCCGGTTTCGACCAGATGGTCTAATATCGAACTGTTGATGATGGTTTTCACTACACCTTTACTTAGCCATACTGGGAGATGTTTCCGAGTGGACATGAAAAACCAAGCTCCTAGAGCAACGGCCAATATAACTCGCTCCATCACAAACTCAGTTGAATTGGTAGATACAATTCGAAGTGGCTAGCCTAGTTTAGGTACTTCATCTTTCGGTCGAGGTAGCACCATCGGTCGTGTAGTGAATAAGACGTGTAGTTCGCCGCCAGCATTAAAAATTCTTCGAATTGATTTTCTTAATTTCCTCGTAATTATTTCGCTTGGTCTATCGCCCTTGAATCGCAGTCGTATGTATAAAGTGGCTTCTTGTTTACAGATAGTGAGTTGTCCTTCTCCGCTTTCTTTGTCATGTGTTTCTGGATAAATTTGTCGGGATAGATAGAAATATTTTTAATCAAGGTATCATATATAGTACTGAATTCATTTTCAATTACTTCTTGAAAAAATATAGCTCTAACGCTGTGGCTGAGGGTCCCTATTAAATTTCTTTAGTACTATAGAGGAATGAAGCTGTGAAAATGTGTGTATATTTTCCTGTCCAAGCACTTTTCCTATGCAAATTTCTTTTTATGCTATCATCTGGTTTTCTTGTAAGTAGGACATCCAGGAAGACAATTCTATCTTGGGATTCCTCTTCTTTTCAACGACTTCATTTTCAACCAGCTGTTTAGTCATTTTTGTATTACGGAAAAAGAAGGCATTAACTGGAGGGACTAGAAATTGCTCAGTCAATATTGCACATATTGGGAGTTAGACCACGGATTGATTGATTGATATCAGTTGCAGAACTATTGAAAGCCAGTAATGGAGTACTGGATAGCCAGCCAGCTGTTTCGTTAGCCTAGTTGGGGAGTCATCTGCGGTATGCATCTACTAGGTTTCGAACCCATGACCTTCCGGTTACAAGTTAAGCGAGCTTGTAGACTATTCAGCCACTGAGACCTGATTCAATGGCTAATCCACGAATTCTAACTTCTACGAGTTCATGACTTTTAGCTCGACCACCAACCAAACACATATGATAAGAATAAAGATAATACACATGCTGTTTTAAAGGGATAGAGTTAAAGTGGATGAATTACATAAATTTTAAATATTAATAAATAAGTGAATTGGTATTAAGATTTTAAAAATGGTGGGTCAAATTAATATATGTGTAAAATTTGGGCACTGTGGTGGTGAGTAATTCCATATCAGTTTCTTTATTAGATGTATCACACAGTGAAATAGCATTACTTACTGGATGACAGTTTCGAACACAATTTATCACTGTTCATAATCATATCAATCAATTATAATCACACGATTTCGAAACTTGAGTTTTATAGTTTTCTTTGTTCTCTCCTATTTGTCGTCGTTGGGGTAGTAGAATTTTTCAGATATCTGCCTGGACAAGTGTTGTATCATTCGTATTACACGGGTGTTGATTTGCAGTTGATTCGATAAACATAGCTTCAGTTAGTTATCAGTCTCTCCCTCCACCCTGTGACATTAGATTTTAAAACTGTCTGACTGACTGCACCTGTTCTACTATTTTGACCTATGTATTTGACCTGAAGAGTCCTAAACTAGTCTGACGAAACAGCTGTCCAGTACTCCCTGACTGGTCTTCCAATAGTTCTCTAACCAATGTCAGCTCATGATGAAATCCTGTAACCAATCAAATCCCTGCAAACCAACACTTGAATAAATTCCTTATTGTTGATGATGTCATCTTCCGACTTATATTTGTCATGCATGTCATTCTTTTTGTTATTATTAATAATCTTATTTATTACAATTTCTTTTTTTTATTTTTGATTACAGCTTGATTCCACACTATATTTTTGGTACAAGTATGGAATTTTCAGCATGGATATCGGTACCCCAAATTTTGCAGGCCGACCATAGATATCAGGTGTGCGTCGGCAGAGGATCGAACCTCGGATCATGTGCATGGTCGGCAAGAGTCCTAACCACTGTGCCACCGACGCACAGTCTTCCTGAATAATTTATCGGAGTAATTATTCAGTGTCAAGGCTTCTAGTAAATGCCTCATTTCTCCTGGCTTGGATTTTCTTTGGTACTATTTAGATTTTTTGCCGTATTACTTAAATATTTACAAACTGTAGTGAATTAATTTGGAAACTACCTCCCTAAAGTTTTGACGAACTCATTCAACAGTTGACTATGTGACCATTGGTCGTGTCAACGGATTTACGACGGAAAAATCAGGGAAGGCTTTAAATTGAAGCTGGAAGTAAGATAAAGCTGCCTACTGTCACTCACAATGATATGCCTAGTGGTCTGGTGGTCTGGTTTATGCTATGAACAGTGCGGGGGAAGCAAGAAGACAGGGATAAGGTGGACCGATAAGAAGATTCTAGAAGATCTGGACTTTGAGGACAATTTATGTCGAATGTCATACAGAAGACAGAGGTGAAGATAGTCACGCACCGTCAAAAGCAAGTAGCATCGATCTTTATCAGGGCCAAAAAATGTGAAAGACGTCACTTCTTTCACTTATCTAGGAAGCATGGGTTCGCCCACATACGGAATGCATGAAGATATCAAAACCAGAATCGGAAAGCTAATGCACAGACCTTCATCAGTTTGAAAACAGTTTGGAAATATTCTACACTCCGCAGTATAAGGAATAAAGCTCGGATTTTCAACACAAATATCCAGTCAGTCAGTCAGTCAGTTATTTTTTATGGCCAGAAAGAAACTGTGGGAAGAAACCGACCAAGAACCTACTGCTAAAACATATCCTAAAGAAAATGGTGATACGTGGATTGGACACACGCCAGGACATCACTCGAGTGGAATCCGTATGGGGAACGACGACTCGAGCATGCATCGAAGGATGACATGGAGGAGCTAAGAGACTACTAGCAACTATAGGGCCAGTAAAAGAGGAGTTCAGAGAGTAGGACTAAGTGGAATTGTGCTATTAGAGACCAATGTTCGACTTGGAATCCAAGGGAACAATAGATAATAATGACAATTTCAATATTTCACAAATCCTACTTTTTACTGACATGTGGTGGGATGAACCAAAGTTCAATTATCGATTTTCTGTAAACACTAGTGTTTAATTGGTTATAGGATTTCATAGAGAGCTGACATCGGTTAGAGAATCATTGAAAATCTGCCTGCAAGTACTGGATATCTGTTTGACCGGTTTACTTTGGGACTCTTCATCCGTGCGCACCCACCACAAGGGTTGAAACCCAGGACCTTCTGGTCACAAGACGAGCGAGCTCGTAGACCATTAAACCGATGGGAAGAGATTCAATGGCCAACCCATGAATTCCAACTTTTGTCGATTCACAACATAGCGCGTATGTTTAACTTCCTATCTTGTTTCCTTCTTACGCTACAATCCAGCATTGGAAGCTCCCCTTCCTCACTTTCCAATTCATACGCGAATTCGATTGCTTTTTTGATTTTTCGAACGCATCAACTCAAAGGTATATATGATATGAATACCAATAGTCATAAATTTTTTAATCCAATTTTAGATTTTCCCGTAGACTGATTGGACCCAAATATCGACGAAGCATCTGCACAAGAAGCCGACATGTCAACCTGAGAGTGAGCACTTCGGTACAATCAATCGACAGGATTCATTGAATTAAATAACTGATATGACCCGCTGCACAAGAGAGGTGGCCAGCTCTCGTGGCTCAACTGGTTTAGTGGATGACACTTTGGCGTTTGAAACTATGAACGCTGTGTTCAAGCCTCGGTGGTGGGAACATCATCACTCACTGGGGAATGCAGGTACATCCAGCTGGAGGACGAGTCCCAAACAGGACGAAATGTGTATTGTGGATTCCACTGCCAGTCGCTATCTACCAGTCATTGTGTGACATGTCTAATAAACAGATCAATATAAAATTCCATACTACGACAATGTAGAAGTTCCACACCCGCATATATATAACACTTTATTTAGATTCAGTAATTTATATTTGATGCATAATCAAAATGAAGAATATATTCACATTAGTCTCATCTGTTTAAAGACTGCATAGTAAACACTACTAAGATTTAGGTGATTGTTTTTTCTGATTGTTCCTCTTTCATACGATTATATCTTCTCCATTCTGATTGCCATTGTCGAAGTTCACATACCTCAGGTATTCGTCTTACCTGTGTGTATAGAATGAAGAGAAAGTATGATCAGTCATGACAAAATATGAAATATGATTAAATTAATAATCCCCATTGAGACAAAAAAACAAAGAATTCAATGAAGAAAATTCTATTTTCGACGATTTCATTTTCATGAGCTACTGTACAATAGTGATAATTTATATTTAACAAAGAATTCCTAGGACGACCAATCAGATACTGGTAAAATTTGTCCACGAAAAAAATGTATTACGTAATGTAAGGTGTAATATAGAAAGGTTAGATTAATGGGAAATTAATCAAAGGGGATAGGAGTTGGGATGACGAAACAAGTGTGAAGAAGTGACTAATCAGCTTGATTGTGTAAAGTAGACAGGACCTAGTGGAAAGGCGATAAAGTGCTTTTTTATATAAAATCTGTATGAAAAAGCAATGTTATTAATAAACAGTAATAGAGTGGTAATAAAATGTGGATGATGGGAATAATAATAATAATAATAATGAACTTACATAATAAAATGAAGCAAAATTATAGTAAGAACGTTACTCTAGCCATTGTAGGGCGAGGGAGTGTATGTGGTGCTTTTGAAAACACAGAGGTCCGGTTTCAGATCTCGAATAACCAATGATTCAGCTATGTACAGGTGTCATATTCGAGATCCTTTCCTTGCGATTCCATTATAGATAAGATTTTATTCTGATAAATCGCACAGTGTTTACAGTTATATGAACTGATGTTGAGGGACTCTGTGTAGAAATGTGTAGCATTCATGGGGAGAGGGATTGCTTAATGTCCAGTGTTGACAAGGTGTTCGAGGATGGAGTTGCTAGTATTCTTCTTTCCTCCTCTGGCTGGCTAACCAAGTTGGACAGTGTTCCAGAATTCGTTTGTGGACTTACATTGCCTACGGCCAGTATGCTTTGCTCCACACAAGCAAGTAAGCTGAGAAATACAAAGTGAGGTGACCAAAAGAGATATCTTGTCCTTAACGTTAGACTGGATAAACTGTCTGCTGGAGAATGTGATGTGTGACGCGGTGACTGCTTGAAATGTCTTTTCCAGACATTTAGAAAGGTGATTTCTAAGAATTCCAGATTCATGAATAGAATTTTCTTACTAACAGTTGTGATTTTTGATGATGAAGGTTCCCCTTCATTTTTTGTCTATGTATCTTGGTGGATGCCCGTTCTTCAGTGAGATTTCTCGTAGTGAATTCAATTCTTTCTCTATCGTGTCTTCTGAACAGATTTTTCTAATCCGTGAACTTAATATGCTTACCAGGTTTTGCTTTCGGACCAGTGAGATGAAGCTCTGGAAGTTGGTGAACTCTCCAGTCCATGTTGGGTCGTGTGATCTTATGTTCTGGTAAGTAGTATATCCAGAAAAGGATATGCCATGTTGGATTCACGTTCTAGGAGGAATTTCATTGACGGGTGTGTTCCGTTCGAGGTTTTGAGGAGATACACTAAAATAACCTTTATCTTCACAAATTATAAACCTAGCATATACGTATCTCCTGTATAAGTGCAGTTGACCGATCAAAGGGTCTGGGATGTAGTTTTTCAGACTCGCCATGAAGCAGTATAAAGTGCATATGAAGAATGTTTCACTTCGACGTATCATAGACATGACCAACTCATCATAGCATCAGATTGCGAAGTGGCTAGCAGATATCCTTGAATCAGTAAGAAGACTTATGGAAGCCTTAGCGATACATTTGACTTCTATAGCTGGTTTCTAAGGATTAGTTTTGCTTTTACGAGTTAGAACACGAATCGATATCATTTAGAGAATCATTGAAAACACTCCAGGGAGTACTGGACAGCTGCTGTTTCATCCTAGTTTGGGAATCATCGTCAGTACGCACCCACTGGGATTCGAACCCCAGGACCTTCCTATAATCCTATAATAAAGGTGTTTTTGTATTTCCCAATGAATGAAAAACAAAACGATATTGTTGCTTTTACTGACGTTTCGCTACCTAATGCTGATAGCTTTTATCAAAGTATTATGATATTTTTCTAAATTTTTGTAAGCTTTTGTTCCTGTGGGGTGGGGTGACCTTTAGTTAGGCGTTTATGTTCATTCACTCTTATTTTGAGTAGTGATCTGGACGTGTTTGACCCACATATTTAGTCGGACAGTCAGTCAGTCAGCACAAGATATTTTGTAAATCACATTGTTTTTAGTATACAATTGGTGGATGGTGGCTAGCAGTGGAATCCAGGATGCGCATTTCGTCCTATTTGGGACTCAACAACTGGATGTACCTGCATTTCTCAGTGAGTGATGATGTTCCCACTGAGGCTCGAACCCATCCACCAATTGTATACTAACTAAATGCCCGGACATCGTCGAAGCATCTGCACAAGAAGCCGACCGACATGTCAACCTAAGACCGAGCACTTCGGTTCAATCAATCGACGGGAAAATCAAAAATTCAATTCAAATTGTTTTTATTTATCATTTGTATGGGATGTTTCAGTTGATTTATTCTATTTTTAATTAGATTCGTTGAGGTCAACCTATAGCTCAATAGATATGTGTGACATAGATGATCGGAAAATAAAGTACATTCGGAAATGTGAATGTATGAGAAAATAATATTTTTTTTATTTAGTTAATTTTTTATTTACAGCTTGATTCCACATTGTATTTCTGGTACAAGTATGGAATTTTCAGCATGTGTTATCGGTAGTCCAAGTTTTGCAGGCCGAACAAAGATATCAGATATGCACCGGCAGGGGATTGAACCTCGGACCATGTGCATGGTCGGCGAGAATCCTAACCACTGTGCCACATATGATGGAAACCGTATAGGATGAGTGAAATGTTGTCAAAATTGTAGACTAGATAAAATGTCAGAATATGATAACATGAAGTGAAATGAAATAAAACAAATGTAGAACACAGAATAAAGAAGGATAAGAAAGTTTTTCTGACGTGAATTACATAGTAAAATCAAGATCGTGGGGGTAACGAAAGAGATCGTACAAATTGTTTTTTTACTCATAATTCTGGCTCTATGTCATTGGGCGTCGGTGGCACAGCGGTTAGGACTCTCGCTGACTATGCACATGGTCCGGGGTTCGAGCCCGCGCTGACGCACACCTGATATCTATGGTCGGCCTGCAAAATTTGGACCACAGATGTCCATGCTGAAAATTCCATACTTGTACCAAAAATACAGTGTGGAATCAAGCTGTAAATAAAAAATAAAAAAGAAATAAAATTGAATTGTCAAAGCTTCTGATATAAAAGGAAAGACGTTGAGCGAGGAGTTACACTTTACCTCTATATCATTTTCAAACTGTACAGTCGAACATATATAGTAAATTGTCTTAGCAACAAAATGGATGTTTCCAAACATGTGTCATTAGAAATGTAAATGTTAGACAACAAATTACGTAATGTAGGAAGATGCACTAAGGATTGTATATGATACTTTGATTGAAAATATCTAGCTATCCTGATAAAATTTATCAAGAAACACATGAGGAAGAGAGCGGAAGAAGGAATACTCACTACGCGGAAAGAAAAAGCCTTTATACATACAATTACAATTCAAGGGCGATAGACCAAGCGAAATAATTACGAAGAAATTATGAAAATCTATTCACAGAACTTTCAATGCTGATAAACTACAGGTCATGTTTTCTACACAACCGACGATGATTCCTTGATTGAAAGAGGAAGTACCTACTAGACTGGACTAGCCACCTCTAATCGTATGACCAGTTCAACTGAGCTTGTGGAGCAAGTCATATTGGTCGTTGCTCCAGGAACTTGATTTTTCGTGCTCACTCGGGAACATCTCCCAGTATGGCTCAGTAAAGGTATAGCGAAAATCCTCAGCAGTTTGGTATCAGAACACCTGATCCACACTGGCCACAAAGCCAGCTAGCATTGAAGAATCCTTCTCTATCATCATCTACTGGATACCAAATAAAATGCCAAAAACATCGAGGCACCGCATGCTCCAAACACCAAGGGCTATCGCGATTCGGTTGAAACAACCAGTCCATTGTGTTCAAAAGAAATAAGTCCAACCAGTCACTGCTATTGATCAGGTCAGTTTTCAGTAGAGAATATAAATTCATGAATTTGTAATATTATCTTTCCTAATTTTTCTGACATTCAGCTTATTTTATGTTATTATTATTATTATTTTATCCTTTAGTTCCTAGAGGAACATAGGGCTTCAGCTGAGCACCTCCATTGCCTTCGGTTTTCTGACAACTTTTTCACCCTGCTCCAGGTCTGTCCACATGCTTTCATCTCCTCCTCGCATGACCTCCTCCAAGTCACCCTCACACTGACGACCAACTCGCCGCCTCCCTTTCGGGTTCCACTCGAGGGCTTGTCTAGTGATGTCACTTGATGGTTTCCTCAGAGTATGGCCAGGCAATCCATCTCCATTTCTTCCTGCCTATTTGTTTCACAATCGGTTCCTGATTGGTTCGCTCCCAGAGATCCCTCCCTGTTTCTGATCTTTTCTGGCCGGCCATCTGATCTTGAGTATTGAGCGGAGACAACTGTTAATGAAGGTTTGGAGTTTGTTTGAGATGCTCTTTATGACGCGCAGTGCAAGTCTCTGATCCATATGGTAGCACTGACTTTACATTGGAGTTGAAAATCCGGATCTTATTTTTGATTCTGAGTGCTGTTGACCTCCACACAGACTTGAGAGTAATGAAAGCTTGTCTTGCTTTTCCGATTCTGGCTTTGATGTCCTCGTCAGTTCCGCCTGCAGTTGAGACGATGCTTCCCAGGTAGGTGAAGGAGGTTGTTTCTTTCAGGTTCTTCCCACTTATGCTGATTGTTGTCTGTTGTTGTTGTTGTTGCTGTTGATGTTGGCTAGGAATCTTCATTATCTCTGTTTTATCTATGTTCACGTGAAGTCCTATCTTTGATGCTTCTTCTGCCAACTTGTTACTTTTCACTTGCATATCTTCCAGTGTATGGGAAATCAGACATATATCATCGGCGAAATCCAGATCCTCCAAGTCTTTTGTGT